CAGTCGGTTAAGCATCCGACTTCGGCTCAGGTTGTGATCTCATGGTTCATCTGAGTTTGAGCCCCGTGTGGGGCACAGAGCCTGCTTGGGGTTCTCTCTCTCCCTCTCGCTCTGTCCCTCCCCCACTTGCTCGCTCTCAAAATAAATAAATAAACTTAAACAAAAGAGGGAGCAAATTCTAGGGGCCTAGCGAACAAGGATAGCAGGATGGCATAAGATTAGAGATTTAGGCAAGGGCTCCATCTTATTCGGTCAAAGTAGAGAGCTTCGATGTTATACTCCGTGCAGTTGAAAGCTCTTGGAGGGTTTTGAAGCAGGGAGCCTCGTATGGCATGATTTAAATACTTAAAAGCTGGCTCTGGCTATTGCGTGGAGACTGGCCCGTGTGGGCCGGGAGACCACGGAGGAGACTCCCATCGATCCAGGGAAGACAGTAGCGGCTCAGGTCACATGGGAGGCCGGAGGAGGCCGAGGGTGAGGAGAGAGGGAAAGAGAGAGGAACACGGTAATCGAGGAGAAGACTGGTGGCATTTGCCGGATGAGGGACATCAGATGAGGGAGGGGAAGGCATCAAAGGTCCTAGCCCAGGACCTGGCAGTGCTCGGTGGAAGGCCGTGGAATGAATGAATGGGTCAGGGTCTGGATGGAGATTGTTGAAGCCACGGGGAATGTATGGGCTTAGTTAGCGTCGCTTCAAGGAGAGCCTAAAGAGCGAAATGAGATTCCGAAGGGGTGGGCAGAGGAAGGACCGCCTAGAAAAGCGAGTTGAAGAAACAACGAGAATGGTGGGAGGAGAAACAAGGAAGTGTGATGTTCCAGAAGGCAGCCCCGCTTTCCTCTCCAGAAGCAGCCCATGCTGGCAGATGGGCGGGTAGCCTTCCAAGTCGTCTTCTATATATTTACATACATCCACAAATGTTTATATTACATGCATATGTAGTCTTGTGGGTTTTATATAAATGAGCTCAGAGCACATGCATTATTCTATCCCTTGCTTCTAAAAAAATATAACAGCTTTCTTGAGCTTTAATTCACATACCGTACAATTCGCGCATTGAAAGTGTACAACTCAGTGGTTTGTAGTATCTTCCCAGATATGTGTGTAGTATCTTCCCAGATATGTGTGGCCACCACCATAGTCCATGTTTAGAATGTTTTCATCATCTCAAGAAGAAACCCTGTGGGGCGCCTGGGTGGCTCAGTTGGTTAAGCATCCAACTTCAGCTCAGGTCACGATCTCACAGTTTGTGGGTTCGAGCCCCACATTGGGCTCTCTGATGACGGCTCGAAGCCTGGAGCCTGTTTCAGATTCTGTGTCGCCCTCTCTCTCTGACCCTCCCCTGCTCACGCTGTCACTCTCTCTCAGAAATAAATAAAACATTAAAAAATTAAAAAAAAAAAAAAAGAAGAAACCCTGTATCTTTCAGCTTTCCATTCCTATCACCAGTCTCCACGCCCCCAACCCTAGTCAAGCACCGATCTACTTTCTGTTTCTCCAGATTTGCCTCTTCCGGGCTTTAATATAAATAGAAGCACAGAACCTGTGGTCTTTTGTGACTGGCCTCCTTTACTGAGCACGGTGTTCTCAGGGTTCATCTATGTTGTCGCCTAAATCACAACTTCATTCTTTCTACTGCCGAATACTGTTCCGTTGTGTGGATGAGACCGCCTTTTGTCTCGCCGTCCGGCGGTGGGAGGGCAATGGGTTCTCTGCACTTTGGGCCACTATGAAGAATGTTATGAACGTTTACGGTAACAGGTGTTTGTGTGGACGTACATTTTCATGTCTCTTCGAGTATATTCCTGGGGCGGAATCGTCTATGTGTGACACTCGGAGGAACTGCCAGGCTGTTTCCCAAAGTCACTGTACCATTTTACACGCCCACTAGCAGCCCACGGAGTTTCCAAGTGCCGCACATACTAACACTTGTTACTACCTACCATTGTGCTTATAGCCAAACTAGGGGCTGTGCTGTCACTTTTTTTTTTTTTTAAGGATTATTTATTTTTGAGAGAGAGCGTGTGAGCAGGGGAGGGGCAGAGAGAAAGGGAGACAGAGGATCCGAAGCAGGCTCCTTGCTGACAGCACCGAGCCTGATGAGGGGCTCCATCTCACGCACCGTGAGATCATGACCTGAGCCGAAGTCGGACGCTCGACCCACTGAGCCACCCAGGTGCCCCCATTATCACTTACTGTTTTATCTAATGCACCTTGAATGCTTTTCCCTATTGGCACTTACAGATTTCTTGTACATTTAAAGGCTCTGTGGTATTTCACAGAGACCCTTCTTTTCAAGATGATCCTGCCAGTACCGCTGGGTTATTTCCTCCCCGCAGGGCTCGGCAGCCTGGAAGGAGAAAGGGCGGTGGGGGGGGGGGGTGGCGGCACCGATGCAGATTTGGAAGCTGTGTGGCAGGTGCGTCAGACGCATAAGGTGAGGAACGGTGTTGATGGTGATGGGAAGTGAGTACTTGGAGTGAGTTATCAGCCCTGGCACAGATCAGTCCTGGTAAGTGACAGTGACAGGGAGCTGGAGTGTATAGTACAGCATCGGCATCGGGCCGAACCCTAAAAGTAGGTTTTTGCATGAGAGACGAAGGCTAGTTTTTCGTCTGGATTTGCATTTACGCATTTCCTCTGTTGACTTCCTTCCTGCTCCCTCCCTTCCCGCTTCCCTCCCCTCCCCTTCCCTTCCCTCCTTCCTTCCCTCCCTCCCTCCCTCCTTCCTTCCCACGATTACATCATTCACTGCTTTGCCTTCTCAAACGGCTGATTCACAACATAACGTGACCTTGTCCTGTGCCTCAGAGTGTGCGTTATGACCGTCTCCTTTTCCTGTGGACTCTGAGGCGTGTAGGAATATGTCTTTCCCTCTTAAACGGGTCCCCGATTTCTGTGCTTTCGAAGTCCTGTCTGCCTCAGCTTCCAGTTTTACTCTTTTTGTGTCAGAGACTGTGACGGGCTTTCTGGAGCTTCTTCTAATAGACAGTTTCTTGACCGAGGACTGACTCCCTGCCTCTCCTGTGAAGTTTATGGGTTTCACGATAGCAATTTTACATGCTGCTTGGATGCTTTTTTTCTCTTCTAGGTTTGTGGTTGCATGATGGCAGAGGTCAGGAGAAATCTGATCTCCAGAGGAGAGTCGGTGCCTCTTTAATTTGATCTAGACTATTTTGGGCAGGCTAGTTTTCCAGCCTTGAGGACTTTAAGGAATAAGTGTGCGTTCCCCTTAGCCACACTCTTTTCCGTGGGAGGGACCCGCCCTGCTTAATGCCGTAACCACTAGCTGCATGTGGCTTTTACAACTTAAATATAAGTCATGAGTAAGTCAAATTAGGAAGTCGGTGTAGCACCGGCCACATTTCAAGTTCTCAGCAGCCCCACGGGGCGAGGGGCTACCGTCCTCGAGAGCGGGGACACGGCACATTTCCGTCACCGCAGGTGGCTCCATCAGACAGCAGTGGCCTCCTCTCTGAGCCAGCCTCTCGGGTTTCGCCCTCCCAGACTGGAGCGGCTCATGTTTGTCACGGAGGCCGCGCTCCTCCCTGCTCCGCAGTAGCCCCCGACTTCCCACCCCGATCATGTCGCTTATCCTCTGTCAGGGTAGCAGTTTTCTGTTGTTGCTATAACAAATTCCCATAAACTTTATGGCTTAAAACAACACAAAGCTATTATCTTAACGGTTGCGGAGCTCAGAAGTCAAAAATCAGCTGTTTTCCAGCTCATTCCGCCACCACCCGCCCCCATCTTCAAATTGAGCTCAGGGCATCTTCAGATCGCTCTCACGCCCTCACCTCTGCTTTCATAGCACATCACCTTCTCTGACTTGGACTCCCCTGCCTCTCTCTTTTCTGGACTCTGTCGTTGGATTAGGCCCACCTGGACATTTGGAGGAGGGGACCGTGATCCAGCGTAGCAGGTGGTCTTCTCCAGCGATACCTTGGTTTCCTTGCAGACCAGTGCTGCGCAGCATACGCCACACGCTGATGTCCCGCGGTTTTACACAAAGGGAGGAGAATGTCTTAAAATGTTATTTTCTGGGGCGCTCAGGTGGCTCACTCGGTTGAGCGTTCGACTCTGCATTTCGGCTCAGGTTGTGATCCCAGGGCCTGTGGGACTGAGCCCTGCGTCCGGCTCTGTGCTGAGCGTGGAGGCTGCTTAAGACTCTCCATCTCCCCCTCCGCCCCTCTTCGCTGCTTGCTTGGCGGGTGCTCTCTCAAAAAAACAAAACAAAACAAAAATATATATATATAATATAATCATCATAATAAAATTGATAAATAAAACAAAAAGACTTTGCCTAACCCAAGGTCATGAAGACAATAAAATAAAATGAGTGAATGAATGAATGAATAAATAAATAAATAAATAAATCTTATTTTCTGCCTCTGTCCTGTCAGGAAATACCACATTTTGCTTAAGATTCTCTCTCTTTCTACCCCCTCCCCTGCTCTCACTCGCTCCAAACAATAAATAATAAAATAAATAAATAACATAAAAGACTGCCTAACTCAAGGTCATAAAGATTTTTAATTCATTCATTAACCAATTAATGTCAAAAATCATATTTTCTGCCTCCATCCTGTCAGGAAATACCAAAGTTTGGTTGTTCTGACCCCTCACAGTAAGATTCTATTAATATATTGGCACAAGAGTGTCTTTCATGCAAGACCCATCCACATCTCGCTCCGTGTCCCGTCCCCACGTTTGCACCCCTGTAACAGGCTCTGTCTCAGGGCTGACTTCTGCCAGCCTTTCCTCTCTCTCTCTCTCTCTCTCTCTGTCACACACACACACACACACACACCCAAAACCCTGGAAGCTTGATCTGTTAACCAAGGGAAAGCCCCCTGAGCTTCTTTTCACCCAGGAAAGGGTGGCAGACGAAAGCCTGAGTCATTCCTGGGAGAAGCAGCAGCAGCAAGAAGTAAAAATGGTCTTCTATTTTCAGTCTGTACAAGGTGGCACAGCCTCATTTCTCCTTGCTCCTCCCCGCTAGGTAGAACTGTGAGTCCCGGAAATAATTCAAGAGGCCACCGAAGAAGAATTCCAAAACGTGTGAAGAGAGGAAGGCGGAAGGCAGAATGGTCAGGGACCCCGGAACCAGGGGACATCATGGTAGCAAGCGCCTGCGGTAAGGAGGGGAGCCGGCGCGGCACTTCCCAGCCCCCCAGCCTGGCGACAGAAGGCAGCTCAGGTAGGCAGCTTCTCCCTCCAGATCGGATGGGACGTGGACCTGGCAACTCCGGCAGCGGGAATCCAGTGGCGAGCCCGCTGACACGGAGCACCTAGGGGAAATGCTTGCCTTTCCTGCCACGCCGGGCTCCCCTCCCTCGCCACGAGGCACCGTGCAGCCGGGGCACTGCCACCAAGGGCCAGTCTGACCACAGGCAGCCTGGCCCAGGGAGCCTGTTTGTGCCCACGGTCTTGAGGGGCCCCTCTCTCTCGGAGAGGTACCAGGATGGACTACGGCACTGACAAAGGGCGGGGGTCCCACCAGAACAGGCAAAACCGGGGGCGGTCACATGTTTCCACGGACTAGAGACTCCCTTTCTCCACCTACGGGCCTCAGGCCCCCCAGCCTGAGGGAGCCCCTTCTGCTCCCGGAGGCACCACTGGCGTGGGCCAGTGGGGGTCCCCACAGCGCTGCACAAACAAGCGGACAAAATAGCGTCACAGAGGCTCTGCAAAGTAAATCGTCATTGAAATCACAGCCTATAAAAGTAGGCCAGGACCTGTGTGCTAAACCTAAGCAGAGTGACTGCCTACTAAAATAAAAGACTTAAATAGGCTCCTGCGTGTACCTGTGTGGCTCAGGCCGTTAAGCGTCCATGGACTCTTGATTTCGACTCAGGTCATGATCTCAAGGTTCGTGAGTTCAAGCCCCACATCGGGCTCTGTGCTGACAGTGTGGAGCCTTCTTGAGATTCTCTGTCTCCCTTTCTCTCTCTCAAAATAAATATTTTTAAAAAGAGCTTAAAATTATTTTTAAACGTTTATTTATTTCCAAGAGACAGAGAGAGACACAGCACGAGCAAGGGAGGGGCAGAGAGAGAGGGAGACACAGAATCTGAAGCAGGCTCCAGACTCTGAGCTGTCAGCACAGAGCCTGATGCGGGGCTCGAACCCACAAACTGTGAGATTGTGACCTGAGCCGAAGTCAGATGCTTAACTCACTGAGCCACCCAGGTGCCCTCCCCAAAAGATTTAAATAGTCTCCTGACATAATAGCCAAAATACACTGAAAAATCACCTCTCATACCAAGAACTAGAAAATCAGGGCTTGAATCAGAAAAGACAATCAACTGACATCAATAGGGAGATGAATCAAATGTTAGAATTCTCTGACAAGGATAGTAAAGCAGACATCACAAAAATGGTTCAGTAAACAATTGCAAATCTCTTGAAACAAATGAAAAAGTGGAAAATCGCAACAAAGAAATACAAGTTATAGAAAAAGTGCTAAATGGAAATTATAAAACTGAAAAAATACAGTAACAGAAATTAAAATAAACAAAACAAAAACTTAGTGGGTCCATAGAATAGAACAACAGAGGATAGAATCAGTGAACTTGAGGACATATCAATAGCATTTACTCAGTCTGAACAACAGAGAGAAAATAGACTGGTAAAAAAAAATAGAGCCTCAGAGACCTGTGAGAAATAAAAGATTTCGCGTGCCTGTGTGGCTCAGTCGATTAAGCATCTGACTTCAGGTCAAGTCACGATCTTACAGTTTGTGAGTTCGAGCTCTGCATCGGGCTCTGTGCTGACTGCTCAGAGTCTGGAGCCTGCTTCAGATTCTGTGTCTCCCTTTCTCTGACCCTCCCCCTCTCTCACTCTGTCTCACATTGTTTCTCAAAAATAAATAAACATTAAAAAAATAAAAATAAATAACAAAAGATCCAACATTTATATCATCAGAGTCCCAGATAGATATCAAAACCAGACAATGACAGTACCAAAAAAAAAAAGAAAGCAAACTACAGGCCAGTATCCCTTACAAATTTGGATACAAAAGTCCTCAACAAAGGCTTATGAGCAAAATGCACCCAACAATGTATAAAAGAATTATATACCATGATCAGGTGGGATTTACTCCAAGTATGTAAGGCTGGCTCACTAATTTAAAATCATTCAGTGTAGACCACTGTATCAATAAACTAAAGAAAAATCATATGACCATATCAATAGACACAGACTAAAACATTTGACAAAATACAACATTCATGACAAAAACTCAGTATATTAGGAAGAGAGGGGAACTTCCTTAACCTCATAAAGAACATCTGTAAAAAAATTACCACTAACATCATAGTTAATGGTAAAAACAGAATACTTTGCCTCGTAAGACTGAAATAAGGCAAACACATCTGCTCTTATCATTTCTATTCGGCATTCTACTGGAAGTTCTAGCCAGCACAATACAGCAAGGAAAAGAAAGAAAAGACATACAGATTGGAAAGAATTAAGTGAAACTCTTTCTATTTGCAGAGGACTTGATTGTCTACATAAAAAAATCACAGGGGTTCTAAAAAAAAACCCTTCTAGAACTAATAATTGAATTAAGCAAAGTCATATGACACAAGATCAATACACAAAAGTCAATCACACTTCTATATGCTAACGCTGTGGAAATCTAAATGAAAAACAATACTATTGATAATTGCTTCAAAGAACGTGAAATTCTTAGGTCTCAAACTTCACAAAACCTGTTTCATCTATATGCTGAAAGTTATAAGACACTGAGGAAAGAACCCAAAGAAGACCTTAATAATTTGAGAGACTTGCCATGTCCACGGATTAGAAGACTCCACATAGTAAAGATATCCATTTCCCCCAAATTTATCTGTAAGTTGATGAAGTCCCTATCAAAATCCCGGCAAGGATCTTTGTAGACATGGATGGGATTATTATAAAATTTATTGAAAGACAAAGGACTTAGAGTAGCTAAAATGATGTTTGTAAAGACTAAACTAGGGAAGGGGAATCCCTCTTTCCAATGTAAAGGTTCACTCTATAGCTATAGTAATCAAGACAGTATAGGAATAGTGGAGGGTACACATGTAGATCAGTGGAATAGAATAGAACACCCAGAAACAAACCCAATCTGTTCAACTGAATTTCAACAAAGGTGTAAAAGCAATTCATTGAAGGAAGGGTAGCCCTTTCAACAAATAGTGCGGGAGCAATTGACATCCGTAGGGAAAGAAAGAAAGAAAAGAAAGAAGGAAGGAAGGAAGGAAGGAAGGAAGGAAGGAAGGAAGGAAGGAAGGAAGGAAAGAAAGAAAGAAAGAAAGAAAGAAAGGAAAATGAACTTTGACCTAATCGTCACACCTTCTATAAAAAAGGAACTCAGAATGGATCACAGACTTAAAGAGTAAAACTATACAACTTGTAGGGAAAAAACACAGAAGAAAATCATGATCTAGCATTCAGCAAAGAGTTCTTGGGCTTAACACCATAAGCATGATACCTAAGAGGAAAAATCTAATTGGAGTTCATCAAAATTAAAAAGGGTTTGCTCTATGAGAGATCAAGCTACAGACTAGAAAAAAATCTTTGCAAACTGCATATCTGACTGAGGATTTGTATCTAGAATATATCAAGAGTTCTCAGAGCTCAATCCAATTAGAAAATGGACAAAAGAGATGAACAGACATTTCACTAAAGAGGATATGTGGATGGCAAATAACGCGTGAAAAGATGCTCAGTATCACTAGCCGTCAGGAAAATACAAATCAAAACCACCATGAGATACTACCACACACCTATCAGAATGGCTAAAATAAAAAACAAATGACACCACCAAATGCTGGCGAAGATGTCGAGAAACTGGCTATCTCGTACATGTGTTCTTCAGCAGATTAATAGTGAAGTAAAATGTGGTGTACCTATGGCATGGAATACTCCTCATCAGTAAAAAGAAATGGGTGTATGGTTCACACAATAACTTGAATGAATCTCCTCGGAATTTTACTGAGTGAGAAAAAGCTAGTCTTCAAAGGTTACATACTATGTGATTATTTACATAATACTCTCGAAATGACGCAAGTATAGACATGGGGGGACGTGGGTAGGGAGTGTGGGGGGTTGGGGAATGGAGCCGACAGGAGATGGGTGTGGCTGAAAATGATAACAGGAAGGACCGGTGTGATGGTACTCCTTTCTGTACTGTGGTGATGGACACACGAACATACGTATATGACAAAGTTGCATAAAACCAAATGCAGAGATGCATACAAACAAATTATTACAAGTAAAACTGGGGAAATTTGCATAAGATCAGTGGGTGGTAGCAATGTCCCTATCTTGGCTGTGATATCGTATGACAGATTTATAAGTATATAAATCTTATATATAAAATTTATATACCATTGAGGGAAACTGGGTAAAGGGTACACAGGATCTCACTGTATTATTTTTTATTATGTATTTATAATGTATTACAATTGCATGTGAATTTGCAATGATCTCAACATAAAAAGTTTAATTAAAAAAAAAAGATAGGGGCGCCTGGGTGGCTTGGTCGATTGAGCTTCTGACTTGGGCTCGGGTCAGATCTCGTGGTTCATGGGTTCAAGCCCCGCATCGGGCTCTGTGCTGACAGCTCAGAGCCTAGAGCCTACCTCAGATTTGGTGTCTGCCTCCCTCTTTCTCTGCCCCTCCCCCACTCACACCCTATCTCTCTCTCTCAAAAATAAACATTAAAAAAAAAAAGATAAAGGGGCGCCCGGTGACTAGGTTGGTTAAGTGTCCTGACTTCAGCTCAGGTCATGATCTCACAGTTTGTGGGCTTGTGCCCCACATTGGGCTCTGTGCTGACGGCTAGGAGCCTGGAGCCTGTTTCAGATTCTGTGTGTTTCTCTCTCTCTCTCTCTCTCTCTCTCTCTGTCCCTCCCTCTGCTTGTGCACTGTCTCTCTGTATCTCAAAAATAAATTAACATTGAAAAATAAATAAATAAAGACAGAAAATTAGGGCCTTAAATATGTTGCCAAAAGCTGGATTAAGGAATCTGGCTCACTGTGTAGGCATTAAACTAATTGGCCATCTGGCTACCAGACTGGATAGTCACTTAAAAAAATGACTCCTTAAACCTGGGTCTGCGGCACATTAGAGAGCCTTAATAATGCAAAGAGGTATTGTTCACCCTCTGGAAATTCTCGGTAACCACATTTATTTTATTTTTTCTTTTAATTTTTAGAAAGAGAACACAAGCAGGGGAGAGAGACTCTTAAGCAGACTCCACACTCAGTGGAGAGATCGATGCGGGGCTCTCCCCCACAACCCTGGCATCACGACCCGAGCCAAGATCAAGAGCCGGATCCTCAACCGAATGAGCCATCCAGGTACCACACACAGTGACCACATTTCATGGAAAATCACTTTCACGAAAAAGCAAGCGTTTGTTGTCTACCTCTTCCTATCAGAGGGCAGCACTAGGGAATCAAAATATGGGATCTCGACGTGAGCGCATGCTAGCCCTTCCAGAGTCAGAGTCCTGGCCTGATCTGTTTGTGGAGCCAACATACGGGGCCTCAAAGGGCCTGTTAACTCTATGCGGTGAAAAGCCACCCCCAGCCCTACCCAGTCAGCCAGCTGGCTCTGACCCCAAGAGAAACTACAAGCTGGAATGAGAGGCTGTGGATGATTGGATGATTGGCTATACACCCCGTTTCACCGCTAGCCATCACCCCATACACATGCTTCACCTTGTCCTTAGATCCAACACCTTCCTGAGGAGGAGCTCAGAGGGTTACCGTAGCTTTTCCCCGAAGCCCTTTTCACGCCTGTTCTTCAGATCTGGAGCTTCTTTTAAAACATTGTTTTATTCTGAGAGAAAACACAAGCCGGGGAGAGGGCAGAGGGGGACAGAGAGGGAGAGAGAATCTGAAGCAGGCTCCTAGCTCAGCATGGAGCCCGACACGGGACTCGATCCCATGACCCTGGGATCATGACCTGAGCCGAAGTCAAGAGCCAAGCACTCAACTGACTGAGCCCTCCAGCCGCCCTCAAACCGGGAGCATCTTGAACTTATCACTTGAGTTTTTAAGGGGGGAAATTTGATTTTGCAGGGGACTAAACAACGGGAAAAGTGATTTTCCCTTAATTTAGTTTTTAAGTTAATATATAGGAAGGTCGACTAACTGGTCTATACAGTTCTGTGAATTTTAACCTATATATAGATTCATGTAGTCCACACTGAAATTGGGGTACAGAGCAGTTCCTTCACCCCCCAAAGCTCCCTAGAGCTACCCTTTTGTTGGTATACACCCCCGCCCCCAAACCCTAGCAACCACTGATGTGTTTCTCCATCACTATAGTTTTGTGGGGGTTTTTCTGAGAATGTCATATGCGTGGAAACACACAATAGGTAACTTTGAAACTGGCTTCTTTTACTCAGCAGATGTCTTTGGGATTCAGCATGCCATTGCATCAATCAGTAGTTCATTCAAGTACATTTTAAATTAAAAAAAAATTTTTTTTAATGTTTATTTTTGAGAGAGAGAGAGAGAGCACGCGCAGGGGAAGGGCAGAGAGAGAGGAGACACAGAATCCAAGGCTGTGCTGACAGCTCAGAGCCCGACGCGGGGCCTGAACCCACAAACCGCGAGATCATGACCTGAGCCGAAGTCGGATGCCTAACCCACTGAGCCACTCAGGCACCCCAAGCACATTTTTGAACTTAAGAATTGCTCCCTAGTTTTATTCAGATTAGTTCTCTATAAGCAGGCTTTGTAATAGTACAATAACAATATAATTTCTGTGCAATTAAATCACCTTCAGTCAAGTGACTGACAGCAATTAACATGTTTCCCTTATCTAGTTTTTAGTCTGTTTCTTCTGGTGAAAAGTGTAGAGAGGCAGGAAGTAGGTAGCAATTTCTAAACTCGCATTACCAGAGTTCTAAAGCCAGAAAGCAGCGTCTCTTAGGATCTAAACTATTTTTTAAAAATTATTATTTGAGAGAGAGAGAGAGAGACAGAGAGCATGAGCAGGGGAGAGGGGCAGAGAAAGAGAGAGAATTGTTAAAAATAAATTTTTTTAATGTTTATTTTTGAGAGACAAGCAGAGCCTGAGCAGGGGAGGGTCAGAGAGAGAGGGAGACACAGAATCTGAAACAGACTCTAGGCTCTGAGCTCTCAGCACAGAGCCCGACGCGGGGCTCAAACCTATGAACCACGGGATCATGACCTGAGCCGAAATCAAGAGTCAGACACTCAACTGACTGAGGCTCCCACGCGCCCCTGAACTATTCTTAAATCACTTCTCTCACCGCTTGGGGAACCTATCAGGATGGCAGTGACCATATGGTTATTGCCCCGGAGCTCCTGGGTGGTTCTTGAGCCGCTGCCACACGGAGGAGTGAGTTTAACTGTCACGGAGCCCCTCAGCTGCCCTCCTGAGCACCCCAACATGTCTTTTACTAAGGCTTCGTCACGCCTGGAATTCCTACCGTTAGAATCACAGGTCTAGGCTAACAAATTCCGCAAGACTTCTCTGCAAAGGATGCAAACACGTCGCTTACAGGGATGCCCCATTATGCAGTTGGGGCCCAAGAGAGTAGAACAAAACCTTTTGATGGTGGGGGCAGGCTGAGAACGCGTGTCGCCTGCTCCACAGATATGCCTGCCTCCTGCCCCAGCGGGCCCCCGCTATTGAATTGGAAAGCTAGATGCCTTGTACGCTAAGTAAAAGCTTCGAACCCCAATTGTTTTTAAAAAAGGTGTTGGAATCCAGTGCATTTAGCCAGAGCTAAGGAGACAGGGGCACCTTCAGATCTCAGGAGAACTGCCCCTCTCTAGAGTTTCCTCGTCCCCAAAGGCAGGCCACTCTTGAAGTCCTACGTATGAGAGGAACTCATTCGCCAGGTGCCGGAGACTTCAGGTGGAGGGTGAATGGAGCCGGTTTCTGTGCCGGGGTGGCTCCGTGTTGCGTGGCCAGATTCATGTGGAGCTGAGCGCAGTGGAACAGCCCTGGCACTCCGCGCGCAGAAAGTGAGCTCCCCCGACCTGGGACCAGAGCCTTGGCCTCTGCACCAGCGTTCTTCCATGACCTTCCCATGACGCAGACATGTACAAGTCATGGCGCAAGAGCGTGTGTGTCTGGTGATGCGGCTAATTTCTGTCCATTCGTTAGCCAGTGCCCAATAATTTGTAAGTTGGTAGATTGTGCTTGAATTAACCCGTTTTCAATTTAATGGCTCATACAACAGAAGGCTGCTTATTGTATCCGTATATAGGCTGCTCTTAGTGCATCCAAAGAATGTTTAAAACAACAAAAGTGCCACCTATCACCTTGGCTCCTAACAGATTGAAACCATACGATGACAGCGGCCCTTGGTTAAGTGAGTGAGGCAATAGGTCAGCAGCAGAAGTGCGGATGCTGTTCCCGGGGCGGGCGGGCAGCTTCTGGCTGTGACACCCCTACTCTAAGCAGGTGTGCTCAGGTGTGGCCCAGGACGCGGAGAACGGACAGTAAGATATCCCAACCCTTTGGGGCGCCTGGATGGCTCAGTCAGCTAAGCATCTGACTCCTGATTTCAGACTCAGGTCATGATCTCATGGTTCATGGGATGGAGCCCCCCATGGGGCTCTGTGCTGACCGCGCTGAGCCTGCTTGATTCTGTCTCTCCCTCTCTCTCTGCCCCCCCTCCTTTCTCTCTCAAAAATAAATAAATAAACATTAAAACAAGGTTTCCCAAACCTTCGCAAAGTAACAGTCGCAGAAGAGGTGCTTTCTGAGAAGGAGTGTAAGCGAAGTGCACGCACGCAGCCACTGAGGCACCCGAGACCCGAATGCAGATGGCAGATGGGAACGAAAGGCACCTTCAGAGCCAGGGCAGTCGGGGGGCTTTCATGTCGAGATGCAAACGTTTCCGACGGGCAGCAACCTCCCCTCCGTTCTCGTTCATTTAATTTCCCATTTTCCCCTTGCTTGCGCTTTTTCCCCAGCCCCTCCCCACCGCCCCCATGGGGTGGCCCGCTGATGATCTTGTGGTGGCAGTGACCCATCTGCCGGGAGAGCTGGCAGCCGGGCAGTCCCCATCGTCCCCACTCGGGGCCCACCTCTCTCTGCCCCGCCACCAGAAACAGAGTGGCAACGTGCCATCCCCTGGCCCCTGCTCAGGGGACTGACTGCGCTTCACAGAGTGAAGCAGAAACTGAGAGCTTGACGCTCCCTCCAAGCTTTAGCCTTTGCCTCTGGTGTTTGGTGCTGAAGTTTTGGGACTCGGTCTGCGTCTATACATGGCTTGGTGGGTGACAGACTCTGGTCAGTGTGGGGCTCCAGGCACGTGGGGGTCATGGTCCTGGGTCCGATGTAAATGAACAAGTTAATTTCCTTACTTTTTTTTAATGTTTATTTTTATTTTAGAGAGACAGAGCACATGAATGGGGGGTGGGGAGGGAACGGTCCGAGAAAGAGAGAGACAGAGAGAGAATCCCAAGGAGGCTCCGCGCTGAGAGCAGACAGCCCTACGTGGGGCCTCAACCCACGAACCCTGAGATCATGACCTGAGGCAGAGTCGGATGCTTAACCATCTAAGCCACCCTGGTGCCCCGGACAGTTTCATTTCTTAACCACTGCTTTTACCTCTCTCCCCGGTCACGTGAGGACCCCGGGCGTTAACAGGATAAGTGGCTCCAAGCTGTCAGGATGGCACAGGGTCCTTAGTCTCATTGCCCCTTCAGTGATGCTCTGAGGGTTTCAGAAGAACAGGTGGTTACTGGGGACACCTGGGTGGCTGAGCCGACTCTTGATGTCGGCTCGGGTCGTGATCTCACAGTTTGTGGGTTCGAGCCCCACATTAGCCTCTGCACTGGCAACACAGGGCCCGCTTGTGATTCTCTCTCTCTCCCCCTCTCTCTGCCCCTCTCCCGCTCTATTTCTTGCTCTCAAAATAAGTAAGGATTAAAAAAAGAATAGTTGGTCACTTGGGAACAGCAGTGGAACCCCCCCTTCTCTTACATATATTAAAATATTCTTAACGCTTGTGACAACTGTGAGGGATGTTACGAGGAGAGGAAAATATTCACGGTCTCCTTAAAAGTTAGCAGGGTTGGGGAGCACATCTTGATTTGGGCAGCATGAAAGGAGATTTGTGTTTCCCACTTTTGAGCCATTGACTTAATTGATCTCAAGGAGACCTGGTCGAGGCCGCTGGGGGGCTCATTCGGTTAATCGTCCAACTTCGACTCAGGTCATGATCTCACGGTTCGTGAGTTTGAGCCCCGCATCGG